CCCGTTACCCCTTCTGAGGTCTTTTCTAGCCTCACTTCCAGCTTCACCCGAGCACTGCACGGGAGAAGAGATAAAATTCTGGACCTGGCATCGCTTTCCTTGTGTGAAGCTACGCTGTGAATCAGACTGGGCTGGGAGTAGGTGGGAAAAAAAAGGGATATTGGGGAAAAAAACCCTGAAATACTGGAAAACCAGACTATTGATTCCTCCAAAAGCTCACCCCGAACGGCTGCAAATCAGAAGTCCCAGATGTAGCACTGGATCTAAGAGAGAAGCATCGCCTCTGACAGCAATTCCCCTCTCTCTAAAATGGGGAAAGAATCAGGTTGTTTGCAAAGATTTGCTAAGACTTTAAGTTTAACTGCAAGAAGCGTAAAGCCCAAACCTGTTCTTCTGTATGCGTGAGAAAGCAATTTGTTTGTCCCTCTCGTTAGATAAAGACACGGAGGGCGAAGACGATGGGAAGCACAATCACAAGGCAACTGATCTGTCATTTCGTGAGCCTTCTCCCCGCGCCGCTTGCCAACTGCAAACATGGAAGGGGCTCGCTTTAATTAATACCAGGGTCTCAGCAGACCACTGGAGGCAGTGGCACTTGTTTTCAGGTCATCTGGTCCTAATAGGCTCACACTGGGAGGTGATTTGTTGCTAACTGACAGCAGAGATCAGTTAATGAGGGCTGAGGCCTTACAATCCAATGTAATGAACCTCAGGGCTATTTCTATATTATTTGCCATTATCATTAAAAAAAAAAAAAAATTAAAAAGCCCCAACACTGGAGGAGATGCTGGCTATTAATCCAGATATTTACAATATAGAAATCACTCCCTGCTCTGCATGGTTTTCTCTAGGCTGCTCTGCATTGGGAATTGAGAACACAAGTGCCACTACGGATTATCAGGACACAAGCTATTCTGTGGTAACACACACACCAGTAGTGTCCCCAACAGCTTGTCTATGGGGGACACTACGGGTACAGCAGCTCACGGTGACTTCTCCTCATTTTCGCACCCCCTGAGCGCCGTAACATGCTCCACTTTGGAAGCAGACCTCCTGCCAACGTCAGGAAGGAGAAAGTATCCGTGAAGGCCGTTGCCCTTCCCCGCTCCCTCAACTACATCGATGGATCTAAAGAAAGCTGCTGCCTCCCCCGAACCATATTCTGACCCTCGGAGCACCACAGCTACAAAACCCCTGCTGTTACAGAGCTCACGGTACTCTTCATACGCACCAAGGGCACCCCATGGAAGCCCAGTCTGGTGGGGACACAAGAAAGCAGCAACACCCTCTCGGCAGCTGCACCACTGAAGGAAGATTTCCTCCTACACAAGCTTGAAATGCTGTAAGCACAGAATGTTGGGGCACCGTCTTTCCTCGTGGTGCTTTGAAAGCTCTCCTGCTATGGACAGTCAAGCTGTGCCTGATACCCAGGCACAGGGGCTCCTGCTGGAGATGCACCCCCAGGTTATGCGGACAGATGAATCCCAGCGTTGTTTCAGTTCCTTGCGTTTATCCAAAGCTCGTTGCTCTGTACAGACCATCAGCTCCTTCATCACCAGGGATTACATGGTACAACTCGCGGAGGTACAAACCACCGCGGGCCGCAGAGCTGATCTGCCACCAGCAGACTGACGAGCCACCCACGTGTCACCAGTGGTGACAGCCACGCGGCAGTAACAGCAGGCCACTGCTGGTTTGCTGTAATAGCTTTTATCTGCAAGCCTTGGTGTGGCTGTCCACTCTGCTTCAGAGAACGAGCGTTTCTCACAGCACCACTGATGGTCACCTCTGCACTCCCTGTCTTTCTGCTTCAGCTCCTTTGCAGTCAGCCTAGGAGGAACCAGAGATTTTAAAGACCTGCATCAGCTGTCCCAAGATGGACACCTCTGCTCGCTGCCCAAGTGGTTTCCTTACCAAAGCCTGTCAGCTTCTCGGGGTGACAAAACTCTGCCAACATCACTTCTCCGTGTCTCCTGCCCTCTATCTGCCAAAATGGAGAGGAGCATTAATGCCAACAACATGGAACCAGTCACCATCCCTCTGCTGCAGGGCTGGAAGGCAGGTTGTGAGCGGCAGCAGCACATCAAGCTGAAGAGCTTCGCTTTACTAATCCAACAAGGTGGAAAAAATTCTGAACTAAGGACAGAGGAGGACAGTCAAGCTCTCCCAGGCTACACCGGGACAGAGAACAGCTGCTAACCAAAGCGTGGAGGTTGGTGGGATGGGGACTCAGCTTGTACTTCAGCTGCAAAAGCGTGGAGCTGGTGTGGACACATCTTCATGGGGTTATGAAGCGTGGGAGCTCGCATCAACGCAAGGCTGGTCTGGGGGCACAGTCTGGGTTAATTCTGCCATGAAGGGATAACACAGGTGACACAGAGGAGCAGCACAGCAACCAGAGGGCAAGCCAAGCCAGCAATATGGAAAACTCTCGAGCAGAAACATATCCAATAAAATGGACAGTTTCCACTCAAAGCCACAAGGCACCTCACCAACTCTACGCCCTTTGCAAAGCTGCCTGGCAGCTGCACGAGACCACAACAACAAGCTTTCTGCAGACTTTCTGCTCTCCACTGCGGACATGATGGGCCAAACCGCTCGCTGCCAGTTCCCAGCCAGGAGCTCCTGTCTCCATCTTTCTCCTAACGATCCCCAGTCTGCTCTGGACAACCATTATACCTTGTAAAGAAATCTAAACAAGCCCCCGCAGCTTTTTCCCCAAAGGTGAATTGAGGAACCTGGGTACAAACAGCTGCTGGCCTCCTCCCACGGCACAGGCTGTTTGCAGAAAAAAAATGCCTGGAAAATGAGGTCTGTGGCTTGAGAAAAAGAAAGTCTTGGCCATAGTTAAAAAAAAATACTGTGGGATCTTTCATGTTCCAGCCGGAAAGGTACAACCATGTGTTTCAGAAGCTTATTTGAAAACCCAACGTAAGAACTTCCACAAGGTGCTCCTGAAAAATGCACCTGCCTCCTCGGGAAGCAGCTGACCCTGCTAAAGGTGTCAGCTTGTGCTGCTGGGGAACCTGGGTATTAAAAGCCTGACGACCACACCGCGAGACCATGGCTTTAGCAACGTTAAAAGCTCCTCTCTTCCAGCTTACTCCAGCTATGCCTTGAACACCGTTTCCAGCTTGGATGCTGTCCACAGTGAAAGACATCATTTCGAGCACTGCGGGTTCTTTCCATTCAAGGTGCTGACCCACCAGGAGAACATCTCCAAAAGCCTGCCTTTGTTCAGCGTGTCAGCCACCACACCATCACTTCTCAGCCTCAAAGTCACTCTTTTAACGAGGTCTAGGCTACTTCACCACCAGTTAACGCACGCGTGGACAATGTGAGTTCACGCAGCAGCAAAGCCACGGTGCAGAGACCCAGGCAGCGCACGGCGCAGGACGTGCTGGAAGCCATCAGCGGCAGAAGTCTCCTTCTGTTGAAAAGTTTGGGCATGCATGGACAGAAATACCTCACGGTTAAAATATTTACTGGTTATGTAGACCGAATTCTGTCAATTAAAAGATAAACATGCTTGGCAATTCAAACAAACATCTCAAAAGCGCTGCAGTACTACTGCAAGGGAGCAGTTACTTAGTAGTGAAATATATAAAGCGTTACCCACTGCTATTGAGACAGCACTTATGACAGCTCCCAAGTAGCCCTGGATGAACTTGGATGTCGGAGAAGGCTTTGGAGAGAAAAACAAAACATATTTTCAATAAACAAACTTCTGGTTATTAAAATGCAACCGAGCTTTTTTGTTTGTTTTGTTTTATTTGTTTTAAAGCAAAGACAGGTTCAATTTTGTCATATTGTTCCGTGACACATGGTCTGTCATCTAGCAGCGGCAAAAGCAAGGAAAATTGTAGCCTCATGAGCAAGGTCAAAGGGAATGGAAAATTAATTGGCATCAGAAAATTATAATAATAGCAGCTTAAAGGAAGTATGTGAACGAAATTTAGCAAATGGTACAAAATTAGCATTCTTACACACCAGCGATGAACCCCAAACTCTCCACATTAAATGTTTGTCTTTGAAACATTATCTCAAAGAGCTGGAGGGCTTCCAACTCAGCTTCCCATCTTGAGTTTCCCACATCCCAACACGGGACGAATGAAGGCTAAAGCGATGGCAGAAAGCAGGAACAGCCCCACCATTCCCCGGCACCACCGCCCGTAGCGCATATAAAGTCCTCGGGAGACGGCAGCGTGATCATGGAGCCGCCTTCCGCCATCCAAAAACCCAGATACCATTTTGCTTTGTGCTCATTTACACGTCAAATTAAACCATTTTGCACCAGTTGGAACTACATACTGGTTCAGCTCAAAGGCACTGAGCGTTACTCACATGCCTCGAGGGATTTTGAGATCCTCACGCCATTTACAGCTGAGGTTTGAAATGGAAGTCGACACAGGAGAATGGCCCGTCTATAAATTCAGCACAGTGCCGACTTCAGAGCTTCTATTAACAGCGAAGAGACAAGACTTATGTTTCCGTGTCAAAACAGACCTAACGCGCTGCGCGCGCCACATATGTTGGGTCTCCTCACCTTTGTCGCGTTGCGGTTTGCATAGTTGACGCAGGCATTGTGGCTCTGATTCAACCACTAAAGAGGAAACGAGAAGAGACAGGCATAAACATAACTTCACAAAAATAAAAGAATCTGGAAAGGCGGGAGCGCCGCAGGAAAACTCATCTCCCTTCAGACCTGCTCACAACTTGCTGCCTCTTTTCAAAGGCTCGTGCATGCCCTACATCTGACTTAATGCCCTTCGAACTGAGGGACAGAAATCCAGTGTCCAGAGGGCAGCTCTGCTTCCCTGTACACTTGATATGGAACTCTCCTCCTGGCCCAGTCCACCCACTCACACCACCTTGGTGCTATCGGTCTTTATTTTCCATCAGCACCAACTCCATACCGCTGTCAGGACCTAGCAGTAAGCCCAGCAGCCCGTTTGTCAGGCATTTTCTAAGCTCCATGGCTGTCAAACAGGGGGTCATAGGAGGCTTCAGCTGAGGAACAGGAGATGAGCAGATGTACCATCTTACATCTGGATACGGATGTCACTAAACTGATAGGTCTGTCCACAACTTTTTGGAGCAGGATTTGTCACCAAAGCAGCATGGCAGCAGCTGGGGACAAGTAGTATCACGCTCCTGAAGGAGTTTTACCCACAGCAACTGCTGCCAACGTAAAGAAAATTATAGCTTTCCTCCCTAAACCACCATATTCCCAGTTCAGAGTGTGTCAGAACTGGAATCCTCTCCAGCTGTGGCCAGAACGAAGACGGAGGAGGAGGAACGAAGTGAGGGTGAGAAGAGAGAGTGAAACAAGGCACTAAAACACAGGAATCAGCCCAGTCATTGCTGGGTTCATGGCTCAAGAGTACGTTTTTCTTGCTGACCAGCCCAGAACTTTGGGCCTAGCAAACCTTGCTATTTTGTTTTCTTTAAATAATAATTTAAAAAAATAATGTACCAAGTCAGCTTGCCAATATGTGCTGTAAATCTGCCTTAATTTTCCAGATGTGGGGGTGTTCTTTAACCCCCACAGCTCATATCTACATTATGCAGGTCCACAAGACCAGGCTAGAGCTAACCTGAGACATGTACATTTTGGGCATCAGCCACACCTGCTTCACTGTACAAGCCTGCTCCTAGGGGACCCCGTGTTTGTCAATGCAGTAATACACATCATCCATAAATCCTACGCTATTTACTATAAATCTCCTTTTCAGAGAGATGCAGACCTGCGCTCAGATGTTGCCCTTGATCTAGAGTTTAAGCTGTCTCTAGGTTGAAGACATCCCCACTACACGTTTCTTGACTCCGTTGTCTTCCCAGGTGGCCACCTGACACCCTCCTGGGCTTTTTGGGTGATGCCTCTCTAGGTTGCTAATTCTCTGTCCTGGATTTTTCAGAAAAGTGTGACCCATGTGCCCATCATGGTGGAGGGAAGGGTTTGAGAACCACTCGTCAAGCAGCAGCGGCTCTGACAGGCTCTGACTGCTGGACTCGCCTGCCACGGCTTCCTCCTTGAGCGGGCTCGTTTTGGTTCTGCGTTTGAAATATTCTTTGTAGTTTTAAAAGGATTACTCCACCTGTATAAAGCCAAAAGTTTCACCCTGTCGTGATGGTGGGAATAGGAGCTCCTCATGGGAGCCACTTACAAGGCACCCAGCCCAGGCCAGCTATCTGGGTTGGCTCTCCAAAAGCCAACTCTTTCCATCATAGATGTCTGAAAACGGGTGAGGCAAGTTGCCTTCAAAAATATGAAGGAGTCTGGATGACTCCAGCCACTGTCCCACTCCCAGCATGCAAAGCCACACGGCCACAGCTTACAGCTGAAGACACCAAACCACACGTTACTGGCACGAACCAACGCCCGCTCGGTTCCGCAGCCTTTCTAACATACTAGGCAGATCCCGTTCTGCTTTGGTATTTCTTAACTGCATAATTCTCTATCATCACTTACACTGTAGACAATAAAAAGACATTTGCAACTAAAAATAAGCCTGAAAATAACTTGTTCTTTCATTTCACTTAGTGCTGAAATTATACTTCAGTGGTGTGTTTACTATGGATATAACTCATTCACGTGCACGCTTCCTCCCCTTACTCCTAATTCCCAGAACCTTAATGGGAAATAACACCAACGTGTCCCTACGCACAGACTTTTTTTCCCCCAAAGCCCCTGTAGCACAGAGGTCCTTGTCTTTGCAATGCACAGCTATTCCTGAAATTCCTGGGCGCGGGGCCTCCCCCTGCCCCCAGCTCCGCACACAAGGGGAATTCACCAAGGAAGATCCCAACTACTTGACTGGGCGTCTTCAAAACAGCAGATGTGTGAGCTTAAGGATCTACATTTTCATGGAAGAGCACAAGGCAGTCATTTACACCTGGACAAAATGGGTCCAAAAAGCTGATTTTGAGGTCCTGGGCTATCTGAGATCTCCCTCTTGCTGGCATAAATTGCCAGGTGCTGGAAAGTGGACCCAATAGTTTGCCCATTCCAGACCTACCAAATCTTTCCCTGATTATATCCAGCCACATCATCTCCCTGTCGACTAAAAGCATTGCCAGTGCAGAATAGCCACGTGCATCAGTTTGTCCTCTAGACAAAATTCAACTGCTCCTTTCGTTTCCATCCCATTCTCCACCCGTTCGGACAAACGTTACCTGCCAAAACACAGTGGATGCCAGCGTCTGGTTGGGCAAGAGAAGACCAACAACCTGCAGGAGAAGAGATTTTTCTCATTAGCAAATGCCTTGTTGGTTTGCTCTCAGTGCTCTTCTAGGCATGCAAACAGCAAGCTTATTTCTAATGACTTGAATAAATTATCTTCATTTACAGCTTTATTCCATTATAGTCACTGAACATCCCTTCAGCCTATTGTCTCTCAACTTTCCAGTAACGTAGCTGCCCGTGAAAGTTTGTGTCTTTAACTATTGCTTGCAACACACCTTGAAAAGAGTCTGGCCACACATGCTGTCCAAAGATTAGGTCATTAAAATATAATCAGTGCTTTAATCCAGGTATTTCAGGGCCACAACACAAACATCGCACAAATGCAAGAGTTCAAAGTGGTTACTATTGGCAGTGAAAGGGGGGGTTTCTTATTTTCCTTTGGCACATTCGCTGCTTCAAGCACACGAAAGAAATCCGATTCGAACATCTGAAGACAGGAGTGCCACCTGGAAGCACATGTGCTCCTGCCTGGGAGCCTGGATTTTGTTTTAAGAGACGGGAATTGTTGATGTGTCATACTCGGAGCTGCGAAAACTCTTGTTTGCGTTATGAGCTCAGGCTGACGATCGCTGTCTCCCAGAGGCTTACGGCTGCCTGACCCAGCACATCTGGCCAGGTGCTGCCCGCTGCTGCGTGAAGGCGAGATGCCACAGGCTTCGCAAGGTCACCCATCGCAGCACCTGAGGCCACACACGTGTATGGTGCCTATCCAGTCCTGAGAGCACCCTTGGGACGTGCCTCAATGTACCTCATCGGCACACCCTCTGCAGTCCTTTAAAGACCCCATCTCTTACAGACAACGCAGCACTGCCGGACTCCTTCCTACCTAGTTTTATGGCAATCTTTCCTCTTAAAGCATAAGCTGAAGAAGATGAAAAGGATGCAAAGCAAGGGGACTCTCAACGATAAACTCAAACATGGAGAGGAAGACGAGTTTTTGGGTAAGAAACAGGTAGGATGAGATACTTCCTAACATCATTATCATTTTCTCCCCTCCTGTGCTTCAAATGCCTAAGAGTTTCAGAAGAAGATGGGCTTCTTGTTGCAAAATCACACTCTCATCTCAGTTAAGAGTATAAAGACTGAACAATTCCTTTTAATTCAGAATACATTTATTTTCAGGACACCCGTGTGAACCAAAATGTCTCTGAGGTATCTGGGCAAGAAGGCTGTGAGTTCACTCCCACACTCAGACCGTCTTCTGCACCATTTTCTTTAAGTTTATAGAATGAATCACAGAATCACAGGATGGTTTGGGTGGGAAGGAACCTTAAAGATCACATAGTCCACCCCCCTGCCCTGGGCAGGGACACCTCCCACCAGAGCAGGTCGCTCCCAGCCCCATCCAGCCTGGCCTTGAGCCCTGCCAGGGAGGGGGCAGCCACAGCTGCTCTGGGCAGCCTGGGCCAGGGCCTCACCGCCCTCCCAGGGAAGAATTTCTTCCTAATACCTCATCTAAAGTCTTCCTAATAGCTAACCTAAGTTTATTCCTAAGAAGCTGAGAAGAAAGAAAACTTCCCTATTAGAGCCTGCCACAAAGAGGGCTGAGCTAAAGCCGTCTGTGCACATCTGCAGCAGCATCAGTTGAAGAGGAGGCAACTTCTACGCTTAAGGACATAAGAGAGAAATCACAACAAACAAAAGGGTAATAGGGTTGGGAGGCCTGATTTCATTTACATTTTCTTTCCTCTCTCCTCCTCCTCCTCCAGCTTTTCCTCCTACAGCCTTTCGTGAAGTTACAGCTACTTTGTACGCTGGCCGGGCGCCAATCTGTGCAAGTTACACTAATTTACCGCTCCCATTCAATATGCGGATCTTGTCATTAATTACTCCGTTGCCGGGCTTAGCCAAACGAATTCAACAGGCGATGAACCTCCTCACCCCAGGACTGACTTACGCGCCTGAAGCCAGCGAGCTAATGAGGCTCCGGAGGAGAGGGAAGACTGCAGGCAGCTACTTACATTGTCAGCTGAAGCTGAGCGCCGAGAAAAATAAAAGAGGAAAATAAATAAATAAAAAAGAGCACCCAAAATCTGTATGACTGAAAGAGGCACGTTTAAATGCAAACTCTCCATATGTGCAAGAGTCTGTCAAGAAATGTACAGTTTCACTTTTAATTACTGTCAGGGGAAAAAATAACTAAGAAGGAAAACAAAATAAAAAAAGCTTCTAAACACTAGAAAAGTACCAGCGACAAAATTTAATTGCCTATCAGGTGTGAACGGCCCTCCGTGGCCCCAAAGCCAGGGCTAAAGCCACCGCTCCGACATCTGTCGGCTCTGAGCAGCCTCGCAAGGCGTTGGCAGGACTCTTGCAAGCCCCAAGTCCTGCCTCGGGTGCCAGCGAGAGTCACCTGCAACCCCGTATTAACACCCGGCTCTTCTCTACACGCTTCAAAACCGCAACCGGACCCCCTCCCTTTTTAAACAACTGGGGAAAATAAGGTGCTTCAAGCTGTGGGTGGCAGCTGGGAACAGCAGCACAGCTCCTGCTCCATCCTCTCTGCCCATGTCTTGGGCTGGATTTCCTTAAATGCAGATAAATCTTCCTCCTTGGAGCCCTTCGCTCCTGGGATGAAAGGCAAACCCAGGGCAAAGGGCTACAGCCCAGCAGGCGCCTCGCACACCTCACCCCTACGGCAAAGGGAGATAAAGCGAGCGGCTGGATTTGCTCCCTCCCGGGCTGCAAGCCGGGTGGGCAAACACAACCCCCTTCTCCACTCCCCTGTCCTCCAGCCTGTCCCCACTCCGCCACCGCGGCCGATTCCGGGGTCGAACCGTAAACACGAGCACGGAAAGGACGGAGGCTAAAAAGAAAAGCAAACGATTGCAACTCGGGGAAACGAATGAACAGCCACAGGGTTTGGTTGTGTCAGGGCCAGACAAGAAACAATTATTTTCAGCAAGACCTTAATCTCTGTCACAATGAGCTAAAGCATACTGAATTATTTTGCATTAGCTATAGGGGACAAAAAACCCCAACGTGTCTATAGGCAGCATCGTGTATTGACTGATAGGCAGTAACCTGTTAATACCTAATCTGATCACGTCCCTGCCGGCACCTACGCAGGGTGTTTCTTTGACCCCTCCACACCGGGACGACTAGCGCGGGTGCAACGGCACGCCGGCACGGCTTTGGGGGCGAGGCCAGCCACGCTCGCTCAGCCAGAGCCCACCGCAGGCACATTAAGTCTCTCTTGAGGAAATCCCATCCCCCTATGTGAAATGCAAGACTCAAACTGTTTTTATGCTAGAGCAGGCTGCCAATTTTGTCACTAAATTTCACAGATCGATTGGCATAAATGTTACATTTTAATTTTAACATTTGAAACGTTTGGGTTTTTTTTTTTTTTTTTTTTTTTTTTTTTTTTTAAATGACAAGAGGTTCCAGTTTATCCTTTACAGCTAGTGAAATTGGGCTCATCTGACAGCTCTCGGCTCCTCTGACAGCTCTGGATTTGGGCCGATTTCATTGTCAATTTGATCGTTAACTCATTTTTGTTTAACCTTTTCTTTTAAAATGCCCCATACAAAGTTACCACCAAACCCTCACGCACGACAACAAATAGTAACAGCCGTGATGATTTCTCTTTTAGGTGCTAGCAACCCCGCTGCCGCTGTTTGGGACAGGATCATTGCCTTTAAGCAGGTACTACGCCACGGTCCACTGGGTTTAGGAAGATTAAATTTATCAGATTTTGCTCCTTCAACCATATTAATATGTGTGATCAAGTAAGCTCAGCCAAGAGCTGGCGGCCAGGGGGACCAACTACCTTCTGGCACCAACTTTGGGCAAAACGGCGCGCCTCCATTTCCCCATTCATAAAATGGGGTTAATTAACCATTCCTGTTCCTGAAGACGAGGTTTCAGCATTAGGAAGACAGGCAGAATCATCTCCCTTCTGGCTTTCGCTATCGAGAGCACCCAAACGCTTACAAATTGCACAATAACAAGTACAAACTCGAACCGCCCTCAGCAATAACCCCACGGAAAGCACTCGCCGTTTTAATTAACCAACACGAGAGCGCACGACACCGGCCTCGCCGTGCTGTAGCTCGTCACGTTCAGGAAACGACTTGTAAAACATGCAAATTAATTAAAAAAAAAAAAAAAAAAAAAGTGTCCAAAGATGAAATCTGAGAGTTGCAGAAGTTGCATTTTGCAGGCAATGAGCTCATCTTGGTCTTCCCTTTGCAGAAGGGAAAGATAAAGCTGAAGATGTGAAGACGGTGCAGGTGGGTGGGCGAACGATGTTAAATCAATAAATAACCACGAGCACAACAATCTGAGTCCACGGGGCAGGTTTTACACGACGAAGCCCTTGCTAACGTGTGACAGAGAAGGTGGGAATCCTGTGTGAACGCGTCGCGAGGAGGTAAGGTGGAATCTGGAGAATTGTCTGCGAGTGCTAAAAAATGCATTTCTTGGTACTCGCAAACAAAGCGGGGAGAGATGTTAAAATACTTACGATGGGTGTTCCAAAGGGAATGTAACCTATTAAAAAGAAAAAAAAAAAAGAAAAAAAAAAGATGCATGCATTTTAATATGCAGTTTTAGGATGGAAATAAATCACATCTAAGACATTACCACCTTAGGGTGGAAGCCACAGCTGGCATGACAGGCTGCGCTCACTTCCACCAGCTCCGTACCACCACGGGGACATCCATGGACCTACGCTTGATGCACCAAGCATCAACTAGAGCAGCCTCCTGATTTTTGCCCAATCTCTTTCCCATCTTCTTCTTGCCTTTCTTGGGTCACGGTCTAAGAGTTTCCCTGAAACTTGGAACATCTAGACCCTAGAGCTTACTCCAGTAAACCCAGTCTGTGCCGGTATGCGGTATTAGCCCTTCAGAGGGCATTGAGGGGTTGAGCTGGGCTAGGCAGCCAGCAACAACTGAGCTCAGCAGAAGTGAAGGGATGACAGCTCAGACCAGGAGCTGCTTGGTCCGGACCAGGAGGAGCTGGATGCTGCTGCGGTGGTGCCAACCGAGCTGACCCAGTGGCTCGCTGCCACGGAAAGGGGGAGATCCTGCCCCCCTTCCCAGGCTCACTCAGGCAATCTGTTCCCTCCCTCGTGCCAGCTCTGTTGCTCATCAGACCCTCCCACAACCTACACTCACTAACCCAGGAGAAAACTCCCCAGCTTTCTGTGCCCCTTCCCCTCTTGTTGAGCCTGGTCCCACCAGGACAGCGTGCTGAAGACGTTCATGAAGCCACCTAACAAGCTGCAGAGCCCACGCCAGTTAAGGAGCAGGACCATGCCGCCATAGGTGGGACCTCCCTCTCTCACCATCCGCTTGATCAACCTCTCTGCTAGCGACTGTATACCAGGAGAGCCCACTCATTTCTAGGTCAGTAGAAGAAGGAAGAGGGTATAAGCTGAAGAAAGTATATTTGCATCATGGAGGAGAGAGGGAATATTTTAATCATAGGTGTAAGTTAAAGCGCTCTCTATTAGAGATAAGCCTTTACCCAATTCTTATTGAGTGCCACAAAAATCAAATGCTTCACATTTTTCCCTGCTAAGTCTGCCAATTTTTATGCTAATTATAATTCATCTCTATGACTTCCACTAGAAGGTCTCAGAGCATTTTACCAATATTACTGAATTAAGCTTCATGGATCCAATTTACAGTCAGATAGGGCAAAGACCTGAGAGGAAGAAAAATTTAAAAAAAGGAAAATACAGAACAAGGCAGCAGAGCAGTGGGTCCTCGCTTTTCTCTCCTCCACTTCACCCTCAACATCATCCTTCTTCAAAGAACTGGAGAACAAAACCCACCAACCCTGTTGTTTTTCCCCTGTGCCCAGTCTTCAAGTGAAGATGCTCCCCCCAAAAAATATGGAAAAGGTCCTATTTATTTAACTAGGTCCTTTAGGAAAGGACCAAGGCTGCGCTTGCATCCTCAAGAGAGCTACTATTCAGCCCACATGTGCATGGATCTGTGCACAGCAGAGGGACACCCCAAAATGGGAAGGAGGAGGTGACAATTTAATAACCCAGCAGCCCAACTAAGTTATGGACAAGCTGATCCTTGCAGACTCCCAATGCCATAGCTATTAGGTACCACTGCACATGGAAAAATGAGGCTCATCCCATTCTCTCCTGGAGAGTAAAACCCTAAGCTGCTCGTTGGGCACCAAGCTTCATTGTCCACTACAAAATTAAAATGCCCATTATCGTGACGGATACCTCAGAAGTGCCAGAAAAGACATTAGCTTGAGTCCACGTTAAAATACCTGAAGGGAAGGAAAATATTAAGCACTAGATGTCACACAGGCATTTAGGATCCTAATTCTCCTTGATTGCAAAGGGATTTAGGCATTTGAATGACTTTCTGATCTTGGTCTAAGTGTTTAAAAGATGCAAGTCAAAAACAGGAGGGGGAAAAAAAAAAAAAAAAAAATATATATTTTGTACAAATTGCCGCTAAAATTAACGATTGCCCGATCGGGACATACTATACCTGACATTCGGAAAGGCATGAAGATGGTCTCGTTCGTATCGGGGTGGATGATGGCCTGTAAAACAGTCAGCAAACAGACACAGTGAAGGCACAGCAACAGTTGGCGGGGCGCAGCGAAGCCAGCGCTCAGCCTCTACAAATAGCTCCTTCCACCGGAGAGGACCGGGAGGCTTCATGCGTCTCAGCACCCTCCTCACTTTTGCAGCTCCGACCGAAGGCAGTTATTGTTTGGCAGCCTCCACAAAACCTCCTCCTACAGCTGCTTTTCCCCTCTCCCTAAATAATTTAGTGTAAGTTAATGATTTAGAAGCAAATAATTTAACCTGAAACATAGAAAGTGGCTCCTTCTTGATAGCATAATGTCCCCAAAGGCCACCCACCGCTGTACCTTAACCCTGGGGCAGGGAATGCAGATTTAGGAGGGGAAAAAGAGAAACCTATTTTCCATCCCTGCCTCTTTTCAGCATCTCCACTGAGGTCCAGCTTTATGTCCTGGCTGAAATTCTGCCCTACGAAGGAAAGGCAAAGCCCTCGCTGTGGCAGAGGGATGGGGAGGGCAGGGCTGCCTGCTCGGGAGGGAACGAGGGCGTAAATCACTTTATGCTGCTCGTGACTGAACGGGTGGCAGGGGACCCCCGTAAGGACTTGTGTGGCTCAGCCGTGGCGGGTGGAGTCAGTCCAGGGAACACCTTCCCCATCCGCAGGTACGCCTGCACGAGCCCACATGGAAGTTCTGCTTCAGGATCTGGCTGCGTTGGGGTAAAACCAGGCAGGTATGGTCCGCTCCTGTTGTCACCGCAAGGGTGACCCAAATAAAATCCCCTCACGCGCCACGGGAGTTGGATTCGCCGGATAATTCAACCTTTACGTGTATCTGCAGCTTCTCAGCCCATGCTGGTGGCTGCGGACAGCCCAGCCTCCACGGAAATCCTTACTGGTCAGCTCACTTGGCCCATTTTTACCAAATTTTACAATAAGCCCAGGAGGCTGCCCTGGCCTTAACCGGCTGGGGATGAAAAATCAATCCCCAAGCGATCTGGGATTGCAGAGGAGGAAGGTACGACACAGTTACAAGCCTTACCAAAGAGCTGTCAAACTATTTTCAAAAGACTGGAGACATGAAATCTCTTGACTAGACAGGAAGGAGAAAATGAAGACATCAAAATATATAAATACAAAAAAAAAAAAAGAAAAAAAATCAAGACTCTTTGGTAGCAACAGTGTTCTCTGCATTTACATTTCTGTGGCAAGACAAAACAGCAACTGGCAAAGTCAATAACGGAGAAGAGGACAGCATCGCTCAGCAAAAAGGGAAAAAAGCAGCAATAGTTGAAAACAATAGTGAAATATAAAAAAAGCTTATTACCTGCTTTATTTTTTGAGCTCCCCACAGCTAGAAAAAATAAAAGAGAACATTGCACTTAAAAAAAACGAGCAGTGTAGTTTTATACCAAACCCCAAATATTCCTCTTTTAGCTGCTGTAGTAAACGAACGCGAGGGACTGCGTTAAAACAAGATTCATTTCTGCATCCTCCCAGGGTGTGTTTAAAGATCCTTTACCCACACCGAGCTCCTGCAAATCTGTGGGGCCAGTAAGACCAGCAAGGCAGAGAAGATATTCTTTCTTATCCTGAACGGTAAGAAAGAATAACAACAGCCAGCTTTCACGCTCTGCTATAAGCTTTACAAATCGAGAATTATCTCGGTGACTCTGCCGCACGTAGACCTCAAGGTAAATTTAGCACAGCCTCCCCTCGGAGGAGCTTCCTGCGGAAACCGAGGCTCGCTGGGGAACAAAGGTGGAGCAAGTCCTGCAGGGAAACACAAGAAGCATCTCTTCAAATAAAATCTGGATTCGGAAGAGACCATCGCTAGCTTTCATTTTCCACAAGGGAAACACACCGAAAAAAGCTCGTGAAGAGGGAAAAAATCTCATTTAAAACTCTCACGAGCGCCTACTGTTATTTACTGAGCGTCGTTCAGCAGCATCAAAACACCTCGAGGCAGGCTCAGCCAGCGGAGATCTACGAGCGCTGAGGAAGAAACCTCCCACGTGAGGTGCAGGTAGAGCTAACGAGTAGGTGCACATCAAGAGACGCTCTGGTATACACATAACCCCACAGTTTGCCCCCTGCTCAGCAAAGCCAGAGAGCTTTCCTCCATGAATTACACCTAAATGCAAATTATAATCTCAAAAAAAAAAAAAAAAAATCCCCATTTTGATGCCTATAATTCTAGAGATGGATGAAAAACCAGGACTCCTGTAAAATCTCACAACAGATCATCGCTTTTACTATTAAAAACTGTTCAGTTCAGCTCAAGTCTGGCTTCAGCCTCCGGGCACCGGCTTGTGTTACACCTCTGTCTGACACCCAGGTACTCAGAGCCACTAAAGCCACCCTTTAACCTTCGCTTAAAGAAAAAAAAACCCAAAAACCCAAAAATAAAATTTATCCGAGCCAGGAGACTGGCTGTTTCGTTGGCAAGGCGCGTTTGCCAATCTTTTAACCACCCTCGTGGCTCTTTTACATCTTTCCAATTTGTCAACATCCTCTTGAATCGAGGACGCCAGAAACCAGACAAATTATTCCAACAACAGTTGTACCAGTGCCAAACCAAGGGTAGGCTAACCTGATGAGTTCTGCTCTTGCTGTTGATAAACCCGAAGACGGCGATAGCTCTTTTTGCTTGGAGAGCTCACGATTACCCGCCAGAATACCTACCCGAGCGCCGTGAGCGTATGCTGCAACACGGGCGTTCACGCTGAAGATTTTATCATTATTATGGTGTAAATTAAGCCCTGTTCTGCCATTCTTCTCCACCCGAGGTTTAGTGCCTTCCTCAAATACAAAGCAATCAAAATACTGTTGGAATAAGGTAATTACTCTACTATAAATAGCATAAATTGACCCACTGATACCAGCAACCCCAGTATTTCAGTTCAAACTCGGCTCTCACTCCAGACTTGAAGCTCACGATGAACTCCGCTGCGTGCGATGAGTTTACTGGAATATCTAAATGTCACAGGCTGAGGCACATACCCACAGGGCTCTTTCCTGTGGAAAACTTCCTGGGTTTTAAGGAAAATCCTTATTCTCCATTTTACAGTTGAAAAACAGAGGTCGAGGGACACAGAGATGATCTCTGTCACTGGCAGAGACAAGAGGTGTCCATCCCAAAATCCAAAGGGTGGGAGGCTACATGCCCAGACAGCTACCAGGGCTTTTTGGCACCTGCTTGCCCACCGGCTTGAGGACTTCCAGGGGGTGAAACTGGAAGCCCTCGAGCTGCAGGTGACTGCCCAGGGCATCCCAGTAACCCTGCGGCTGCCCAGGTCTCGCCTATCTTAGATGTGAAACGAAACCACGGGATTTTCCTCTCTAACTGCAAGCACCAAGACTAGCAAAAAGGAAGAGGGATGGTTTCTGAGCCAGCACTATGGCTTTTTTGGTCAAATTATCTAATTTCATTAATTGATCCCAATATTTATGCATTTTCCTGCTGCAGTGCAAATATTGTTAGAACATGCGATTTCATTACTTCTCAGAAAGAGACTTTACAAGATGCACCTGATGAGTCACCTAAAGATTCTGCCAGCTCATTTTCACTTTTTTATCCTCTAATTCATTTTCTGTCTGCAGCGTTTTTCAATAGCTCCAGTACTCTGACGAGTCTTGCCAGCTGAGGGGCTCGTTTCGGAGAGCAAGCCTCTATTTTTGCTGAGGATTTCATTCACGTTCTCTCCGGCCATCTTCGAGAAGCAGCCAGGTTTTGATCTCATTTACACTCGGGTGAATCCAAAGCATCTTCACTGGAGCACGTGGAATGACTCCAGATTTGTGCTCAATTTATGTGAGCTTTAGGTCCACGATCTCTAAATATAGTCAGCCTCTACGGGGCGGGTCTCTTGTAATGGATGATCCTCCTTTACGTCAGCTTTGCTGTATATTACTGGCTCAAAGCTACACAAGGCTTCTGCCACCATTCAAATTTGGGGTGCAAGAACCAAACCTGCTCACACAGGGGTTTACACCAAAGCAGCCTGGAGGACAAGCGGGCAGGAGCGTTGGAACACCGTTCGCATATTCCACTATCTGCCCAGCGACCTAGGCAGGCAGCAATGGAGAAGTTTCTCCAGCCTGTGGCCATCGCAGCAGTCTCCCACCGGGACAGATCAGGCTCCGCTTCACGTCCTTCGTGGTCGTGGAGAAATTGGCTCTAGGACCATTCGCAAGAGCTCCCAGCACCAGCATACCAGGACACTGGACTCATGGGTGAGATTTCCACCCATCCTGCCCAGGATTCTGGGTTTTTTCTACAATTTTTCAAGGAAGAGGTGCTCACTACTTTGCTCACCACCTCCAGCAAATGGCTTTAAAACCCTGAACTCAGGAACTGAACTCAGTTATACAGAAACATTATGTGCGTGTGACATTTAAGGAAGGGTATCAAAGACTGCCACAACCTAAAGACAACCAAAGCTGTGGTAAGGAGCTAGAGACTGGAATAACTCTTGGGGAACAGATGTGATATTTGGGTGACAGGACATTCATTAGCACTCCTTATTTAGCAGCAGAATTGCAGCTCGGAGAGAGTTTTCCAAAAACAAAGTATTTATTTAAAGAACATATTGAGCCCAAATCTATTAGCTAACACCTGCCCCTACAAAAACAGTACAAAGGATACCAGTTATTCTTAAGAGATTAACCTCCCTCCCATTAAATACAAGATTCATTGGTCCTGGATTCAAAAATGGTCATCGCTGAAGTTGGCCTCGGGTGTCTAAGGTCAGGAGAGCACCGACAGATTCACCCCACCTACTCCCCTGCGTTGCCAGCAACCACCTCCCTCCAGTCAATGGAGACACGGAGGCAGATGTGATGCGGGGAATCGGTAATAGATGCTCTAAAGCTTCCCTACCTCAACCGTACGTGCCAACAGCACCCAAGACTCTTGCACAATATTGGAGCAGACATTGAAATGACCTTAAACCCACAGGCGCATGCTCTGGATATGCCACATCAGGAATAACTCTATGGAGAAAAGCCCTTGCTGACTAACAACACTGTGCATAATGACAGGGCACAGCGATTTTCAAAGAGCTAATGAGGAGTCATCTGGTAGATCTGCCTTACGTACCAAAGAAAACACAGCAGCTCAAGTTCTGCAAAGACTAAGTGGCCTACCTGTGTTAGTGCACCAACACCACTCAACAGCGGTTTGCAAAATTCCCCTAGTAAAAACAAGGTTGAAGAGGAAATCCTCAGAAAAATGAGGATTTTTATTTCATCACTTGTCCACTCAAGTGGAGACAGAGCTCCATCTTGAAATCTGCTCATCCCCTTCCCGCTCCATCAGGGAGGTTCTCAACTTTTCATGAAACCCCGCCTGCACCCACGAAACCTTGATTTTAACAAGGTAACAGCCCGGAGCTTGCACCCCATCAGAAATTGCCAGTAGTTTCACACACTGGGAGCTGCAAGGTTTATTAAAGCAAAGCCTGGATTATCTATCCCACACTGAATCCCAAATATTGGGTGTCGGGAGCAGAACGTGTGATGGAAGAAAGCTAATGCTGAAGAAGAGCAAGCTGCTTTCACGTGCAAGGCCATTCAGAAGGACAGCCTCCAAAGCCAGTCGCGCTTTCCGATAACCCAAATTTTTAAATGATACGAAACCAGAAGGGGAAAAAAAAAAATTAAAAAATAAAACCTTGCTCCAAAGGCATAACTCCCTGTGCTTGGAAAGTTCACTGAGGAATGCTTCAGACCATCAACAGGGATCTGGCATCGCATCAGTGTCAAGTGATAATGATGACACCGAACAAATTTTGACTTCATTCTAGATCCCTTAACTGGCAGTCAAATGGCCAGAGTAAGACACTGGAGGTGGGACTCATCCCCTCTAACAGACATCTACAACGTAATAAATACCTCCTGCAGCAAATTTTCTGGATTTCCTTTATGTCAGCGGTTTGACTCATTCCCATGAGACAACCTGCACAACCTGTGCTCCAGCAGCGCATGCTTCTCCCCGTTGACTTTAAGGTGGGACCTACATGATCAGTTCTGGCTCAGATTGGGTTTGGCTCAAGACCTAAAAACATCCCAAAGCGTCAAGCAACCTGCAGCTCGTACTGACTTCAGCATGGCTTGCAAAGATACAGTTTCTTTGGGAAATTCCAATGGGAATTTGATGAAAGTTGAAGATTTTACGTTAGAACATTTAGGAATCCCAGACTTAAGCACCGCACCTTTTCCAAACAGATGTCCCACTAATCTAGCTGAGCAGATCTGGTCCTTCCTCAGCGCTACCAGCTTGAACCAGAAGCACTCAGGAGCAGCTCCACCACACCCCATCAGCAGGATTAGCTCGCATTAATCTTCAGCAGA